CTGCTCTCGGTCGTCGACTCCTCCGCGCTCTTAAAGCGCGTGAGGGAGGAATACGGGGTCCGAGAGGAAGGGCTAGGGTTTGTGTGCTTGGGTGGGTTTAGGAATGTGAGGGGTGTGTATGAGTGGAAGGGGTTGAAGATAGAGGTGGACGAGAGTAACTATGATTTCGGGACGTGTTATGAGGTGGAGTGTGAGAGCTCGAACCCTGAGAGGGATAAGAAGATTTTGGAGAAGTTGTTGGAGGAGAATGGGATTAGGTTTCGGTATTCGGAGGTTTCAAAGTTTGCAATTTTCCAGTCCGGGAAGTTGCCGGAGTGAGGCTTTGGAAGTTTGATGATACTTGGAATGTAAATTGTGTGATAAATGAAAACTGTGTAATTGAGCTTGGGATGAAGACAATGGAGAAGGCAGATTCTCTTCATTCTTCTTGTGTGGTTTCTGCGGAGATTATTTATTGTCTATCATCCTCCATGAAAATAGTAGAGATTATTTATTATGGCTTGCTTGTTCTGTTTTTTCCTTTGGCATGATTCCAAGTTTAAGTTTCCTCGCTGAAATGGGATGACAGTCTGCAGGGACGATCTGATTTTGAAAGACTATCTATGATAAGAATAGATTAGAAAAGAAAATAGATACAGCAACTTCCCAGACCGAAAAATTGCAAATTTTGAACCTCCGAATAGCAAAACCTAGTCCGTTATTCTTCTACAGCTAGTTGCGACCAAAACAAGGAAAAAAGAACAAGAAACTACATACTTGCATAAGGTAAGATACGTTGCACTTTGAATAGGGTACAAAGTTTAGCAGCGGAGACAAACTGGCAGGCCACTCATTAACATACATGATCATGAGCCAGTATATATGGATAACATAACCTCCAGACAACTACAATCGCCACAGGACACATTATAATTAATAAATAAAAAGAAGAGACACTTTCCACCACCATAAAAGCAATTGATCGCTCTTATCTTAACAAATATAACATAATAATCAATAAAAAATTTCCAACCTGCCCCAAGTTACTAAAGAAGCAGCCTTAAACATGGTGAACCATTAACTTCACTTCTTTCTTGTTGACGGTAGCTGGTAATGATCCTCTTCATCATCATCATCCTCTTCATCATCATCATCATCATCATCATCATCATCCTCATCATCCTCATCGTCTTCATCGTCGTCGTCATCGCTTTCTCCATTGCCATTAGCCTGAACCTCAACCTCGTCATCCGAATCCTCTTCATCATCATCGCTCTCTTCTTCTGAATCATTACCATCATCCTCATCATCATCATCACTGTCCTCATCATCATCATCATCATCATCATCCTCTGTTTCACCTGCATCGTTGTTTTCAGCATCAGGCTCTTTCACTTTATTAAGTTCGGACATTGGAAACCTGAAATGCAGTCTCACTGCCCTATCACTTTCCATCCCCCATACTGTGAACATATAGAAAACAATAAAAGAAGGAAATCTAAAAATTCAAACTTTTAAAAATACCCAAAATGTCGTTCCCACCTCTGATATGTTCTCACTGAGTTTTGAAATATGTCATGATCGTCAAGCAAAGACCCAATCTGTTGAAGAACAAACATAAAGCCAACATGAGACATATATCAAAAAACATAACATGCGTAGAGAAGCGTAAAAATCGCAAAAACAAGCAAGCTGAATATTCAAAATCATGCAGAGGGGCAAACAGAAATCTCCACTGAAAGCAACAGAAAAGTTCCACATCAGCTAGTGAAGAGAACTCAAAAGAAAGAAGATGGACTGTTAGGAGATATACTTATGTCTATCTACGTAATCCCAGAATGGTAATACTTAGAAACATAAGCATTTTTCAATGCTAAAAGAAAATAGAAAAAACGAAGAGAAAATGAACTACAAATAGAGAGAGTAATTTTTCTTTCAGGAAGTAACATCAGAAATGCTCATACAATACATGTTTAGATAGCAGGATCATCTGATTACTAGTTTTCTTACTATAACTAAGATAAAGCTAAACCAATCACCACTAGAGCATGTAACAAATTACTTCCATAAAAATGAAGCCAAACATACTTGCTCATCAAAATTAATTTGCTTCAGCAGAAATGAAGCACCTATGATACGTTTCGAAGAGAAATTAATGCTTCAATTATGGAAAAGAAGAAAGTTCAATTTGAAAGCTTTACATTTTATCATCCTTTTCCTTTTTGCTGTTGAGAAACTATAAGAAAGAAAAAAGGAACATTTACTTCACCAGTAGCCCGTATTATCATACATATTCTCAATCTTAATAATTTCTATGTTTGACAAATTTTCAAGGAAGCCACTTCAATCCAACACTTACATTTGATAAGTCTTATATTCATTTCCACTAAGGATATAAATTAAAAGGGCTTACTGTATTTGGTTATTGAAATTTGAAAATGTTAGGCCCCTAACCTCGGTAGAGCTATTATGCTCTGTTAGACAGGGATTTCAACCTTCTATTATCCTAAGGCTCCATTTGGACATAAGTAGATTGTTAGAATCTAAAACAAACATTTTAACCTTACAATGTTATCTAGATCCCCAAATGGGTCCTAAAAGTCTCTATAAATTGTCGATTTCATTTGATTACCGAAATCCTAATGTAAACCTAAGCATTAAGATAGTCCAAACTGTTTCCTCCTGCCCAGAAAACTATTACAGCAGGATGCCCCAATAAGTAAAAGTAACCAAAATTACACAACTTTAAGTCCAAACAACTATAACAAAACCTATTCACAAACACTTGTGTATGGGCAACAATTAATGAACAAAAGCATTCTTCAAACTATTGTGAACAAAAAACTACCCAGAAAAAGGAATTCTTCATAATTCAATTGCATCAATCATCAATGTATGAGCTTCAAGGTAAAGATAATTCACAGAGCCAAAATTAGAGAAAGATGATTTGGCATTGAGTAACGTAGTACCTGCAGAAGTAGTAAAACACCAAGTCCAATGAGGTCTGTTCTTTGGTTCTTTTCTTGCTATAGCACTCCAAATTTTGTCAATTTCTAGGTTATAATGTCTTGATTTCTATCTAGGTTGTCCTTTTTATCAATCAATTTTCTTCCCCTTCTTCCCCCAAACTTCCATGGGTGTCTTGATAAGTTTTGGGATGAGAGAGAGAAGGGGTCGGGCATGGTTTTCTGGGGCTGGGGCTGGAGTTGGTTTTGGTGGAAATCAGAATGAGAATTTTCATTTGGGAGAGAGAGTTGTTGTCGGCACTGGGTAGGTAGGGATTTTGGGTACCTGCTTGCTTTGGTGAGCTTGGGGTTTGACAGAGGATGGAGTGAGAGAGAGAAGAGTTGGGCCATTTTTTTTTTTCCTTCTCTTTTTTTAAATCTTTTCCAAAAAAAATATATATTTATTTTTAATGATTTAACAGAAAATTGGATGAAATGTTGATGATTTAAACGGCAGGGGGGAAATTGGCGAAAAAAAGAAGTTCATATCCTTAATTTTCTAAAAAAAAAGGATAGGGGGCTAATTGAAACTTAGGTACAAATTCAGGGGGCAAATCACTAGTATACCCTTTCCTAAATGGGGAAATGAAATAGTGCAGTCTAGCCGAGCCACCAAATGATACCTAATGACTTTTGTCCTATTTTTTTCCTAGATTTAGAAATATAATCACTGAGCAGCCTTGGGCAACGCTTGGACCCCTTTAATTAGCAACGCTCAACGCACTCGAGTGACTAAAATTATAAAAATGACATAGAATTCTAAAATAACGGAATTTTGATTTCCATCATTTCAATTTATGGCAATTGAAGATTTCAGTGTTTGGATTTATGTATGTCGAATTTTGTAAATGACACTATGGAAATTGTGCAATGACGTATATTTTGATGGAAATTAAACTCGGAAATTTGATGCCCCAATTTCCACGATTTTTTCCGCGCGTGATTTAATAAATTCCGTGCTTAAGTTGCCAAACAAAGGAATGATCAATTTCTCCTCTTAAATTCCCGACTTTTACTTAAATTTCGAGTTATTTTCCCTCATCCAAAAGAGTGTATTATTTATTTATTTATTTTTTGTGTGGATAACATGTGCAAAACCTGGCTAGTTTTCAAAATTTCTCAGACATATTTTCCCACCTTCTCATTATTTTCATCTGAAGGGTACTCTTGCCATGCCTTCCTCCATAGACGCATGAGGGGTGTTTCTCTGGGCAAGGGCGTCTTCTATGGCTGCGGATTCTACTATTGAAGCGGAGGCAATGGCGGCATTGGTGGGAGCCAACTCGCAGTCGAAAAAGGCTGGCCACATGTTTGTTCTGAGTCAGATTCTAAAGAAGTAGCGAATAGCATCAATTGAAACATCAAAAGGGGTAGATGGCATCTATACCCTATCCTCTCCAAGATTAAAGATTGCCACAGATCCTTCGCATCCAGGGGGGTGTATTCAATTAAGATTTTAAAAGAGTTAAATGGAGTTATAAAGTTTATAGAGTTCAATGTAGTTTAATTGATTTCTATCAACTCCACATAGAGTTTGATTGAATTCCTAGATTGATTTTGATGGTGTTTGTTAGAGTTTTATTGTAGATTTTAAAAGAGTTGATTAGAGTTCTAAAATATTTTTATTTTTATTTTTATTTTTTAATATTTTTTTTTGGCTGTTTATCGTTTTTTCTAGATTTTCGAAAGAAAAAAGTACCTTTACAAAAACATTTTGTAAATAACTTCCAAATCAATAAATCCAAAGAAAATTAAAAAAAGGGCATCTAATTTGTTCAAATGTGCAGTAATTTCATGACAAAAAAAATGATAAGTAAACTATAATTCTAAATGCATAAAAAGGAATAAGTATATGCTTCATTGCTCATCTTTGACTCTCGTCAATCATAGCATCTCTCCACATATCTGAAGATATCCCAACCCTCCATTGGTTAGCATTCTTTCGTTGTTGTTCTTGGGTTTGAAAAACTTGGTCATAATTATTTCCCTCAGTTTTTGGTGATGACGACGACGCTGAATGCTTGTTGTTTTCTTCAATAGGGAATTCATCAGAACGACACTCCTTGCGGAGAAAATTGTGCAACCCTGCACAAGCTAAGACCAACTCTGCTTGTGTCTCATATGGAAATGGAGGGGCAGACTTAAAAATTGTGAATCGTGATTTAAATATACCGAATATTCTCTCTATTACGTTTCTTAAGGAAGCATGTCTAAGATTGAACAACTCAGCTGCATTTTCAGGATCACGACCTTGACCGGCAAAATCCTGAAGATGATATCGAACACCTCGAAATGGAGCTAAAAATTGACGCCGATTTGGGAATCCACAATCCACTAAGAAATATTTACCTGAATATACGACACAAATCCAATTAATATTTACAATACAACCTAATATAGACATAAATAAATAAATATATACATGGTGGCACTTTAAGTCCGTTCCTCCTTGATAAAGAATCATTTAACACTTTGTAATCATGAGCTGAACCCTCCTATCCGCTAAGAACGTATATGAATTCCAAATCAAAGTTACAAACAGCTAGCACGTTTTGTGATATTTTACCGTGACGATCATGATAACTACTTACTTCGCGCCCTGTCACCATTGCTGGTATATGTGTGCCATCAATAGCTCCAATGCAACACTAAAATAAATTAAGGCATTAGATGTTATGTATTTTGAATAATAACAGTACTAATACTAATACAAAAACTATAATAATAATAATAATAATATTTACTATAACGAATGAAGTAGTCATTACTTACCTTAAAATAAGGGTAAAATCTTGTACTTTCTCTTATTTTAGTTGGCACTGTGGATCCAAAGTTCAACAAATTCCAAACTAATAAAGTTTTAAAAATATTTTAAACCAACATGATAAAAATAGTTTAAACCAAAGTTTCAACATAATCTAACATGGTAAACATAATCTCACAGAAACCACACTCATTCCATAGTGTATAGTATCCACTCTGATCGCTCTTTAGGTGACATTTTCAGGAATGCATTTTTCATTCCCAACTTATGAACCAGTCCAAGTGATTTGTAACGAAAATATATGCAATCTTTAATTAGTTCATAAGAAATATATATATATATATGAAGATAATTTTTTTGAAATCTGAATTGAATACACCCAAACTTTTACAAACTCTTTTAAAATCTGAATTGAATACACCCAGATTTTTAAACTCTTTTAAACTCTTTTAAAATCTTAATTGAATACACCCCCCCTTAGGGTCGCTAGGAGGAGCTCGGAGACCTAGTAAACCACCACCCACCTCACTAGTGCATGTTCTTAACGAAGATGGTGTGGGAGCAATTTTTGTCCCAAAGAATATTCGTCTGAAGATTCGGTCTTGCACTTTACTTCTCTTTCTCCTTGCAAAACAATACGGAGTGAAAAGACACCTGGGGGTGTTGGCCAAAGGCCCTCCGACGCCTAAGTTAGGATCCGTTGATATTTTGCTTCCACAGATGGGCTCCCCTACCCCACCCAGGAATTCATAATTTGTTTGGCTTGTTTGGGGTGCGTTTTGACTTTCCTTATGGGATTGTCGCACTGTGTTTTCCTACGGTTACGTTTTCCACCAATTGCTTTTCTGGGTTTATTTGACTGCTAGTGCTTGTTTGTAAGTGCTTGTTTGGTGTGCACTGGGAACTGTTTTTCTCCCCTCTGCCTTATTGCATTGCATTGTATTTGCTTTCTCGTTGTATGATTGTGCAATGAAAAGTGCAAGTTTCTTACCAAAAAAAAATTCAAAAAAAATTTAAAAGGTAAGCATAGTCTTCTCTTTTTGATAGAAATCAATACTAAACAAAGTCGGGTTGAAATTTGTGGCTTGAAAATTAATATTCTACATAATTGGGATCTTTAGCTCCATTAGATGGACATGGAGTGTCCCAGTCTAATTGGCTTGAAGTTGGAAATCAGGATACCTAACTTAATGGACTTTAGAGTATTTAAAGTTTCATTTTTTATGTTGCGCTGGAGTCGTTGACTTGGAGTTTGGCTCTGCACACCAAGGCTAATAACACAAACCATTCTGCATTTCTTCCTTCATCATACATCTCTTGAATTTGTTTTTCTATTATCAAAGGCCAATTTCCTACGCCAACGATGGCTGATGCACTCGTTTGTGTGGTTCTACAACAATTGGCTTCAACAACGTATCAGCAAATAGAAAAAGAGGTGGAATTGGTCTTGGATGTTAAGAAAGAAGTTGCAAAAATCACCAGCAATCTCAAAGCTATACAAGCCGTTCTCGATGATGCAGAGAAGAGGCAAGTGATGGAAGCCGTCGTGAGATATTGGTTGGATAAGCTGAAAAATGTATCGTACGAGATGGATGATGTGCTGGATGAGTGGAACACTAAAATTATGATGCAACAAGTTGACAACCATGAAAAAGAAGGTGATATAACTCTTCTTGTTACCAAGAAGAAGGTATGTTTCTTGATTCCCTTTGATTGCTTTTGTTTTGGCCATGTCAGTCGAGTGATTCTTCGTCGCGACATTAAACTTAAGCTAAAAGATCTGAATAACAAGTTGACTGAGATTGCTGAAGAACGAAAAGCATATAAGTTTCAACACACAGAAGGAAGAGTTGAACAACCTGAACGGCAGAAAAGCTCATCGTTTCTTGATATATCTAAGACATTTGGCCGAGAAAATGAAAAAGATATTATAGTAAGCAAGTTGTTGAGTGAGAGTAGTCAAGAAATTATAAGGGGTCCCCTTGTTATCCCCATTGTGGGGATGGGAGGAATGGGAAAGACAACTCTTGCACAACTAGCCTATAATGATGAAAATGTCAAAGCGCATTTCGAAAGGAGAATATGGGTTTGTGTCTCAGACCCTTTTGATGAGATAAAGATTGCCAAAGCCATCATTGATGGTAATGGAACCCCAAACTCAGATGAATTGGAAGCTTTCTTGCAATGTATGTCAAAATCTGTAGAAGGGAAAAAGTTCCTCCTTGTCCTAGATGATGTGTGGACTCAAGACCACAGAAAGTGGGAACAATTAAAGTTACCTTTGCTGAAAGGTGCTATGGGTAGTAGAATACTGGTGACCACACGAAAAGAGGAAGTTGCTATTATGATGGGAGCAAAGATGAGCCACATGATCCATTTGAAGCAATTGAGTGAAGAATCATGTTGGTCCTTATTCTATCACCTTGCATTCTTTGACAAGGAAGAAGATGAATCTAATGTGTTTGAAGCTATTGGTAAGGAAATTGTCAAAAAGTGTAAGGGTTTGCCTCTTGCTGCAAAGGCTTTAGGTAGTCTCATGCGCTTTAAGAAAACTAAGAAAGAATGGCAAGATGTCTTGCACAGTGAGATATGGGAAATTGAAGAGGTTGAACAAGAGGTTTTTCAACCGTTATTGCTAAGTTATTATGATTTGGCATCGGGGGTCAAACGTTGTCTTTTGTATTGTGTTATTTTTCCAAAAGATTATGAGCTCGATAAAGATAATTTGATTGAGTTGTGGATGTCACAAGATTATCTTAGTTTGGAAAGAAACCAAGAAAAGGAAATAGTAGGTGAAAACTGTTTCAATAACTTAGTAATGCGGTCGTGGTTTCAAGATTTTAAGAAAGATGACGACGGCAATATTACCGTCAAAATGCATGATATTGTGCATGACTTTGTGCAGTTTCTTAACCGCGAGGAATGTTACATCATGGAGGTTAAGGATGCTAACAAGAGAATTGAGCTACCAAGTGATAAGGTCCGCCATTTGACCTTAATCCTTGCATCGGATGATCGATTTGCATGTCCTGTTCCTCCTATTTCATTTGATCATTGCAAAGTTCTGCGCACCCTGTCATGTTTCGATTCAAGAATCACTATCTTAGACCGAGATCTCATTTTGCAATTGAAATGTCTTAGGACTTTAAATTTGAGTGGTAACAAAATCAATGAACTTCCAAAGGAGATTGGCGAGTTGATACATTTGAGGTACATTGATTTGTCTGGTAATAATCATCTGAAGGAATTACCAAACACACTGTAATTTATACAATCTACAGTCCTTGCGCCTCACTGGGTGCAGGCACCTTGCAAAACTACCTAAGGCCATAGGGAAGCTGATTAACTTAAAGCATCTTCATATTAAGAACTGTTATACGTTGAAGTACTTGCCAAAAGGGATTGGGAGATTAAGAAGTCTGCAGGTATTAGATGGGTTTAGTGTACGTGCTGTTGACAACAGTGAAACACTCCAGTTAGGTGATCTGGGAATCTTGGACAAGCTTCAGGGTAGCCTTTTTATCAAAGGGCTGGGGAATGTGAGAGACACTAGTGAGGCTGAGAAAGCACAATTAGCGAATAAAAGACACATCCTTCGTTTGGAACTAGATTTTTCGAATGGAGATAAGCGACGACAAGGAGAAAGAGATGGAGAAATGCTGAGTTTCTTAGAACCACCTCAAAGTTTGGAATTTTTAAGCATTAGTGGTTACTGTGGCGGCACCTTCAGCTATCCCAACTGGATGATTTCTCTACCTAATTTGAGAACCCTTGTTCTTCGTTCTTGGAAAAATTGTGATTTTTTGCCTCCTCTTGGGAAATTGCCGTCCCTTCAAACACTGAGCATAGATGATATGCCTAGTGTGAGAAAGGTTGGAGTTGAATTTTTGGGAATAGAAGAAACTTCAGCATTGTTAAAATCATCCTCACCAACTGTTTCATTCCCAAAATTGAAAAAGCTCAGCTTCTCTGGAATGTGTAGTTGGGAAGAATGGGAAGGAGTGGGAGGGTTGGCGGAAGAGGATTCTGAAGTTGGAATAATGCCATGCCTTTCTTCATTGGATATTCTTAAGGCAGACAGCCTACAAACACTGCCCGACTTCCTGCAAAAGACGCCACTGCATGATTTGACTATCTATAAATGCTCTATATTTCTTGAACGCGGTTGCCAAGAAAGCAGAGGAGAGGAGCGTTTCAAGATTTCTCACATCCCAAACATCGAAATTAATTATAAGAGTGTTCGAGAAGACGGAGTTTGGATCCAGCAAGAGGATGAAACCGAGGAAACTGATAGTTCTGAATCTGATGAGGATGATGATGGGATTGCACAAGAATAGGATGTCGTGTATTACAAGTCATCTTAGCTGCATTTCCATAGGTGCTCTGCCAATCCCCTGTTCACTCCTTCTGGTAAAAAACTAAGCTTTTATTTGTGTATTGATATACTTGATTACCATATTTAATTACTTTTCAGTAGTCTGTGGGTTCGAGCTGCCCAATAATAACAATTTAAGGTGAATACTATATGCAGAAAATGCTTATCTATGGTCATTAAAATAGCAGCAAGTATTGCAAGCATCCATTTGGGAGGCAGAATTTAAAGTTGCAGTGGCTGGAGTCCCCAAGACATGATGGCCTTCTGGTATTTGTTATGCCTATGTGCAAAATTTAATTGTAAACTTGACTGCATATGCTCCATGTCCAGATGGAAATTCCGAATTAATCTCTAGGTAGTTTGGAATTGATTTTCATTTAATTCTAGTTGACAATTCCCTTAATCAATGATCTTCTTCAGAAGAACATCACCATGCTACATGCACAGACCATTCTGAAGCATAAAGAACTAAAAACTGCAATGGAGTTGACAAGTCCCTTAATACAGGTTTAACATTTTGACAAGTCATTTCATCTTCTTGCTGCAATCCAATGGTTACAAGTGTTGGTTGCTAGTTTGCTGAACTGTCAAATTATGATTGAACAGATCCTAAGTAGGATTTTCAAGTGGTGCAACATCATCAAGGAAACTGGTCCAGCATTCTGGCAAACATTTGACTGATTGATGAGGCTCTTACCTAAGCTAGGTAACTGGTTTTCAGTATCTTCTGTAATCTTATTCCTATGATGTAGTTTAAAGGCTCAAATTTAAAGTTGCTGATTATGAAATTCAAATGTTACTAGGTTGTGATATCGAATGCCCATGTCATAGGCATGGGATTTTGTTATTTCAGCGGCTGAAGCTTTTCATGGCATGGCAGCTGATTTGGATGCTCTACCCGGAAACAGAATAGGACTGGAAGTTCATGCCATCTTCTCATAAGCTCCTTCTGCTGGCTCATTTGTTTTGGCCTGCTCCCGGACCAATGAGCTGTGATTGGACTAGCTTTAAACACGAAGAAAAAATGAAACGAAATGAACAAGACTCATTAACACAAGTTGGATCCCGTGTCCCCCCCCTTTCCCCCTCCTAATCTGAAGGAAGGCAGCGCCGATGCCCCCGAATTTCTCACTTTTCTGACGAGTTGATGCACATAAAAGGTCTTAATCAAGGAATTGGCCGGCCCAAAAATTTTATATTACAATTTCATACAACTACTTTTTCGGAGTGAGAATGTCAATATACAATTACTAGATGTATGGCTATGACTAGAATTTAAAAAGAAAAATGCACATTTGAGCAGATATTTGACTTTTATGTATCTTTATGAAATTAAAAAATGTGAAGAAGTCTTTGATCTATGGCGTGTCATGCATCATCTCTATGTGTTGGTAGCCTGTACATGTCATGATTTATCATATAAATATGTAAGGTCTAGAGAGACAAGTTGGTAGCCTGTACCTCTAAGAAAATGAAAAAAAAAAGGGGGTAAACAAAGTCTTTCCTATGCATCCTTCTCATAGAATTCATAACCAAAACAAACAAAAAAAAAACCAGAAAAAACTCTCATGCATTATCTCTATGTGTTGGTAGCCTGTACTTGTCAGGTTCTATTATATAAATGTAAGGTCTACAAAGACAAGTTGGCAAGTGTTTTTGTGTGTGTGTGTGTGTGTGGCCGAATCTGGCATGTTAGACTACGGTAGGGGTAAACTGGTCACATTAATGGAGTTAATTATTTAACTGGTTAACAGAGTTGTATACAATTACTAGATGTATGGCTATGACTAGAATTTAAAAAGAAAAATGCACATTTGAGCAGATATTTGACTTTTATGTATTGGAGAAGGTATCTTTATGAAATTAAAAAAATGTGAAGTCTTTGATCTATGGCGTGTCATGCATCATCTCTATGTGTTGGTAGCCTACCTCTAAGAAAATTTAAAAAAAAGGGGGTAAACAAAGTCTTTCCTATGCATCCTTCTCATAGAATTCATAACCAAAAAAACAGGGGCGGAACTAGGTAGAGGGCTACCATGGGCTTTATCATAGGTAGCCTTTTTATAAAATTAAAATATATCACATGTATTTTAATGTTATTCATCCCATAAAAACTTAGTAGCCCACTCAAATGTAGCCTTGTAACTCATTATCCACTCAATTGAAACAAAAAAAAATGGTAAACAAAGTCTTTCCTAAGCATCCTTCTCATTAGTACGAGACGTTCAACCTTCTCATAGAATTCATGACCAAAAGCAAAAAAAAACCTTATCGTAGAATCCATGTCTTATGCATATCGGAACGAATGCAGATCACAAGAAATGAAAATTTCTGTTGCGGGTGATTCGGCGAAGGTAGCTCTATGAATTTAAAAAATGGGAAAAAGTCTATGATTAACACATCCATGAATGAAGTTCTTTGTCATGTTTTACCATGGGCTTTAGCCTAGGTAGCCTTTTTATAAAATTAAAATATATCACATGTATTTTAATGTTATTCATCCCATAAAAACTTAGTAGCCCACTCAAATGTAGCCTTGTAACTCATTATCCACTCAATTTTGTAGGCCTATAATCATCTTATATTTAATTTGTTTGCTCAATTAGGAAACATAATATCTTAATAAACACTCATGATTTTAACTCTCAACCTTTTACTATTTATCCCAATGTATACTTTTATTTCTAGAAAAACTAGAGAAACAGTAAGTACCCAAACAAAACTTGGTCCTTAGATTTTAAGCTAATAACTTTAGCTAGCCCACCCATTGAAAAATTCTTGGTTCCGCCCTTGGAAAAAAAAAAAAAAAAAAAAAAAAACCTTTCTCATAGAACTTAACCATGTCATATGCATATCCGAACGAAGGCAGATGACAAGAAATGAAGCTGCTACAAGGCCGGGGTGGGGGCTTGGCTCACTAACTTTTCTCATTGTCGTATTGACTTGGCTTGAACCACATAGAAAGGTCATACAAGGAATCTTGCCCCTCCTAAAATTTTCGTAGCGGTTCCTTTTTAATTGATTGATGGGTACATTGGAAGAATTTAAAAAGCAGGTAGCTCAATGAATTAAACAAAAATGGGAAAAAAGTCTATGATTAGCACTCCCTACCAATGAGCTGTGAGAGTACTAGTTTTTAACAAAAATAAAAAAATGACACGGCACGACACGACACGAACACAACTCATGGACACAAGTTGCCTTATCTGAAGGAAGGCAGGACAAGCTTAATTAGAAAGTGAATGTAGAACAAGGAACGGAAGCTGCTACAGGGAGAGGTCAAGAAGCGTGTATTTGGGATATCAGATAATTACTTAACTTGTGAAACAAAGGCTGCTCGAAACAAATATTATGATAATTGGGCTCAAGTTGCTGGAGCCATCACAAAAGATAGGGTGTCCCTGTCTGATCGACTTGGACTTGGACATTTTTTTTTTCCTTTGTATGTTGTTGAGTAAAAACTTCGAGTGGACCTTGGACAAGGTAGAAAGTGTAATATATAAACTGGGTAGAGAAAAGGTGATAACAAAGCCTTTCTGCATTCATTTCTTGCTTCATACATCTCTTGTCTTTCGTCTTCCATATTCAACCAAATTCTGATCCCAACAATGGCTGATGCACTCATTCCCGTGCTGCTACGACAATTAGCTGAAATAACTTATCAACAAATAGAAAAAGAGGTGAGATTGGTTCTCGATGTTAAGAAAGAAGTTGCAAAAATCACCAGCAATCTCAAAGCTATTCAAGCAGTGCTTGAGGATGCGGAGAAGAGGCAAGTGAAGGAAGCCACCGTGAGAGATTGGTTGGAGAAGCTGAAAGATGTTTCATACGAGATGGACGACGTGCTGGATGAGTGGAACACTGAATTTCTAAGACAACAAGTTGAGAAACAAGAAGAAGAAGAAGAAGGTAAAGATGCTCTTGTTGCCAAGAAGAAGGTATGCTTCTCCATTCCCTGTCATTGCTTTTGTTTTAACCAAGTCAGTCGGGTAATTCTCCGTCGTGACATTGCTCTTAAGATAAAAGACCTGAATGATAGGTTGAATGAGATTGCTATAGAAAGGCAAACATATAACTTTCAGACCACAGAAAAGGGCATTGAACATCGACCAGAAAGTTCATCCTTTGTCGATATTTCTAAGACATTCGGTCGAGAACATGAAAAAGACTTTATTGTAAGCAAGTTGAGCGATGTGTGAAAGGGTGTGATCCCCTTGTTATACCTATTGTAGGGATGGGAGGAATTGGAAAGACAACTCTTGCCCAACTGGTTTATAATGATGAAAGTATTAAAGCTCATTTTGAAAAAAGAATATGGGTCTGTGTTTCAGAGCCTTTTGATACTTTCAAGATTGCAAAAGCTATCATTGATGGTAATGGTACCCCAAACTCAGATGGGTTGGAAGCTTTCTTGCAATGTGTGTCTAAATCCGTTGAGGGTAAGAAGTTTCTCCTTGTCCTAGATGACATGTGGACCCAAGATCATAGAGAGTGGGAACAATTAAAGTTACCTTTGCAGAATGGGTCTACAGGTAGTAAAATATTGGTGACCAAGCGAAAAGAGGGGGTTGCTATAATGATGGGAGCAGAGAGTGACATGATCCGTTTGAACGAATTGAGTGAAACATATTGTTGGTCATTATTCCATCACATTGCATGTTTTGATAGGCGAGAAGAAGAGTCTAATGTGTTTGAAGCTATTGGTAAAGAAATTGTAAAAAAGTGTAAGGGTTTACCCCTTGCGGCAAAGACTCTAAGTAGTCTCATGCGCTTTAAGAAAACAAGAGAAGAATGGGAAGATGTTTTGCATAGCAAGATATGGGAACTAAAAGAGATTGAACAAGAAGTTTTTCAACCGTTATTACTAAGTTATTATGATTTGGCCTTGGCAATTAGAAATTGTCTTTTGTATTGTGTTATTTTTCCAAAAGGTTATGTGTTCACAAAAAAACATTTGATTGAGTTGTGGATGGCACAAGATTATCTTAATTTGGAAGGAGACAAAAACAAAGAAATTGTTGGTCAAAATTATTTCAATAACTTGGTAATGCGGTCTTTTTTTCAAGATTTTGCTGGAGATGATTTCGGGAATGTTAGATACAAAATGCATGATATTGTGCATGACTTTGTGCAGTTTCTTACCAAGAAAGAAGCTTTTGTTATAGAAGTTAAGGATGCTAACAAAAGAATTGAGCTACGAGGTTATAAAGTCCGCCATTTGACATTAATTGCACTCGAGGATCCATATGGATCTCGCACTTCATTATTAGCTCCAGTTTCATCTGAAATTTGCAAAAGCATGCGTACCCTTGCAACTTTTGGTTCAAGAATCAGTACTTTAGACCCAGATTTTATTTTGCAATTGAAAGCCCTTAGGACATTAAATTTGAGTGAAAATGACATCGAGGAACTTCCGAAGGAGATTGGTGAATTGATACAATTGAGGTATGTTGATTTGTCTCGTAATTATCCTTTGGTGGAATTACCGAACACTAAGTGCAATTTATACAATCTGCAAACCTTGTGCCTGGATTATTGCCGGCAACTTGCAACACTGCCCAAGGCCATGGGGAAACTGATTAAACTAAAGCATCGCCATGTTATGTGCTGTGATGGGCTAAAGTACTTGCCAAAAGGGATTGGGAGATTAACAAGTCTACGAGCACTAGACCAGTTTCCTGTATGTGGTGGTGATGACGAGAATGACACGTTCAAGTTAGGTGATCTAAGACTGCTGGACAAGCTTGAGGGCAGCCTTTTTATAAGCGAGCTTGGGAACCTGACAGATGCAAGTGAGGTTAAGAAAGCACGACTGTGGAATAAAAAACACATCCTTCATTTGAGACTGGATTTTTCGAATGGAGATAATGCGGAGGGGGATAGGAAAAGTGATGTTGAAATTCTGAATGTCTTAGAAGGACCTCAGAATTTGAAAAGTTTAGACATTGGTAATTACTGTAGCACCTCATCTCCCAAGTCGATGTCTTTACACAGTCTGAGATGCCTTAGTCTTCATGGTTGGAGATATTGTGAAGTTTTGCCTCCCTTGAAAAGTTGAAAATATATGATATGCCTAGTCTGAAAAAGGTTGGAGTTGAATTTTTGGGAATAGAAGAAGGAACTCAAACACTATCAAGATCACACTCACCTACTATTTTATTCCCAAAATTGAAACAACTCAGCTTCGGCGGAGTTTTGGATTGGGAAGAGTGGGAAGGAGTGGGAGGGTCCAAGTTGAAGAATTCTGAAATTATAATATTGCCATGCCTTTCTTCGTTCCGTATTTCTAAGGCACACAAGCTTCAAGCACTGCCCGACTTCCTGTGGAAGACACCACTGCTTGAGTTGAGCATCTCTAAATGCCATGTATTTATACATCAACAAGGTTTCAGAAATCAGCTCAAGATTTCTAACATCCCAAATATCAGTATTAATTATGAGAGTATTCGAGAAGAAGGGGTTTGGATCCAAGGATATGATGAAACCGACACATCTGATTTTGATGAGGGGGATGATGAGATTGTGCAAGAATAGATGTCGATTATTTGAAGTCATCCAAGCTGTATTTAATGAGACGGGCGCTCTGCCAATCCCCTCTCCCTCTTCTGGTAAAACGAAAAAAATACCTCTTCTTATTTATGCATTTATTTTCCGCATTGAATTACTTTTTATTTCACAGTTGCGACCACACCGTCAAAATCATTAGACTTATTTGTTTCTTTTTTTTGATCTTTGAAATCTTCAGATAATACCTTGGCATGATTTTCTTATAGAAGCAATGTCGATGATGACTGGTCAAGGTGCTGCATGATATATCCTTCTTCTGTAATCTTCCATCACCGCGTAACCTTCTGTAATGCATATATATAAGAGGTAATTTTTTTTCCTTGTGTATATAGTTGCCCATTATATATCAAGATTAAGATTGATTCGCAATATTTTCACAAGGAGTAAACTGTAATGTGTCGAAGCCTTGTCGTAGTAGTTACCTGTGCTAACATGTTACACTTTAGCCATTGTTGGACAGCTAAGACCATGACAGTCTGAGGAGTAATTTTTGGTGATTGCCTTGCGCTGTGCCAAGACGGATGCAAGACAAGGCCGCGTTGACGCTGTTTGGTGTGGCAGCAAATACATTATAGATGGAAAAGGCCAAAGACTTGGCACACAAGTTTGACAAGGCATGGCCCAGCATGCGCAGCAAGCTCGGTGGAGTCAGGTTTGGCCGGATGTCATGCGTGGGCAGTTTATCGGCAGTTGCTAGCAGTTCCAGCACCAACCAACTCATGTAAATCCTTTGCTAGGTTTATTTTCTATCTGCCTCTTATGTAATCCTTTGCTTTGTATATTTGTCATTGTGGTAGTGTTATTCAGTGTATGAGTGCTGAAGTGTTTGAAGAGGGTGTAACCTTTATTTTTATTTTGCGGTGAGGTGTGGTTATTGGACCCCAAAATATCAAAGGTCCAAGAAAATATCAATTTATTAAACTTTCAAGAGAGAGGATGAAAATTATACGAAAATTTAGAAAATAAGTTATTTTTATCTTGGAGACGGACGACTCAAACATGGAAGCTCTTCAGAATGAGTCAGATCAGAGATCATCTTTTTCAATAATATCGATACAATATCAATACAAAGAAGATTTCTCAGTTATATATGAATAAGAAGTAATTATGTCTTGTTGCCAAGAAGGCATTTATGAGCATGGTTATGAAAGCTAGAACAACCCACTACATCAATGTTGGTCAATGAAGAGGAAAAAAATCAAATATATAACCATTGATTGATTCTCATGACTTGTTCACTATAACCGAAGACTCCACATGTACATCATAATGTTAAAACATCCCTCCAAATTTTAATAGAAAAAATAGGGGTTGGGGGGGTTGGAGAAATAGAAGTATGAGAATTGTAAGTAATCATAGTAAACAGCCTTTAAAACCCTTTTCTAACTCTTGTGCATCCAAGTTCTTCCCTATGAAAACAATCTTGTTTGTTCTTGGCTCATTGGGGCCCCACAGCCGATCAGGTGAGCCTTGGAATATATCATGAACTCCCTGTTACATAACAAAAAGACGATCGCTAAATATACAGTACCCACACAAAAATCATTGACTAAAATTGCTTGGAACTATATTTCTAACTCCTTTATCAGCAACATCACACCAACCCATAACTTGACATGCAAGAAGAATATCAAATGAGTAGAGATGATTAACAAAATCCAGTACATAAAAAAAAATGCCAATGTACATTAGTAGCAAGTTTATCTCCCCCCATTTAAATTGAACCGTTCCACGATAAAATCCCATTCTACTTGGTTATTCCTTTGCATTGACCACTAATAAAGCATTGAAGGTAAAGCATCATATAAGACTCTAAGACAAATACAAGGATCGCCCATTGCTTTGAAAAAACAGAGAAGAAAACAAGCATGATATAGCTTCAAAGTTGACAGGAAACATGACCCTAGATCAAGCAGGAAGCTAAATAATTTATGTAGCCAATGAAAAGAGCAATGCTCAGAAATTCCAACTTCAATATCCTCACAGCTAAATTTCAAATAGAGAAACGGACATTCTTATACAATAAGGAGATCTCATACCAATTATTAACACTTTCAGGATTTAACTCACCTGGAAGACAAATCTCTCATTCATTCCCTGAACAGATAGAAGACCTTTCATACGATATATGTCCTCGCTCCTTTCCAACAACAGTGTACCGAGCCATATGTTAGCCTGAAAGAAATTATGAGTACAATCTTTGTCAGGTTTTCTTGTCTATATTTCATATTGAGACAACATCAGTACAATCTTTGTTAGGTTTTCTTTTATACATTCCAGACAAAGAATCTAAATTATATAATTCCTGCAACTGGCCATAAAATGTGTACTTGTGTCATTCATAGCAACAGGTCAATAAAAAAGTCCACAGGTACTACTAAAATCATAAGGCCATTTATCATATATGAGGGCAAATAAACTACAACAAAGTAGAGATCCAACCTTTTCAAGATCTAAGTTCCCTTCACAAACTATGCTGACAGAAGAAACGCCAGGATCATGAACATGGTCATGGGTGTGGTGATCATCATGATGTTCTGCGTATCAGTGCCAAATGTAAGGATATCAGTTCATAATTCTATATAAAAAATAGAAGCAATGTCAAGTGGTTAAGGCAGTCCAGTAAAAGCTATTGGCCGACCTGGCCACGACTTTTCTTACACACAAGGCCATAAACAAACAGTAAACAAATGACAGGGAGCTATCCCTGCCACCTTTCTTAGTGCCACTTTCAGAAGGACTGAAACCACAGCACCCACAGATCCAGGGATGGCAATGGAAATTTTTTAACAATAGCTACAACATCACAATTTGGAGGACACTTTTGTCCACCATGCTGCTTGCAGTTAAAGTTTCAATCTTTTCCACCCAATGCAGCAAAACTGAATACAAAGAAGAACACTTAATAATCACTTCTCCAGAACTCCAACCTACTCATGCTTCTTGCTTTACTTCTTGCCCCCAAGAAGTACACTGCAATACTTTTTCCCTCACATGAACCATTTGCCTCCAAGTTGCAAGTAGGACTTATATTACACACTGAAAACCTCATATGAAATTAAATGCATAAGAATAATGGAAACGAAAGGGCAAGGGAAGCATACAAGCTTTTACACATTCCCTTTATCTACACCACCAAAAATGGTAGCAATGATTTTCTAAACCATGGGAATACTGAAGCCTCAAAGACTAGATTAAACTAAACCCAAAGTAAATGAAAATGAGAAGATGAAACTATGTTATGGCAGAGCAGATATCTTATTTTGTTCTTACGATATCATTATGATCTAGCAAAGAAAGAAATATTTTAATGCCCACATGTGTGATAGTGTGTAAAGTTCAAAAATACTTCCTTACTACAGGAAGCTGAACAAGTTCCCAGCTCTGCCTAAACACTATAGCACCCATAGTATCCATTTATAATACCCCATAGATATATAACTGGACCCACCGTATGCCCTCCCTTTTAGATCCAGATGTTCTGAAGATTAGTTGTTATTTTGCAAGATCTATATGCCTGTAGTAAGCTTACAAAGAGATGTATGTAATGTAGGTATCAGCAAAGCAGAAGACTCAGCTCCGAAGTGATACTATAACTTAATAGCTACAAAGTTAAATCCGCCACACCTGCAATAATGCTCACCCATATCTAACAATGGTTTGTTTTCAAACTCCAAGCACAACACCCTCTGGGACCCAAGATTCCACAAATGCATTTGTTTGTGTGCAACAAACAGATTTTGTAGACTTTTCAGTTTTAATTTGACAACAGATAAACATTAGTACCCACAAAGCCATCATCAACATATTCAATGTGTAGGAAGAAGAACAGCGGATCTTTCACAGAGAAGCAACATGTCATGATGAGTATGTGTTTCAATGATCAGAAGGATTTACCGTGCTTGTGGTCGTGCTTCTCATCATGATGGTGATGATGATCGTGGTGGTGATCATGGTGATGATCATGATCTTCCTTTTCACCTTCAGCATCAATAGCACTCTCTATCCTGGCAAGATTACAGCCAAGATTAGGAAATGATATCAAGATTCCAAACACAAGGTGAGAAATTATGAAGCATGGAAGCATGTTCTGCACATTATAGATCAATTTAATAACAGAGCAATATCACAGAAGAACAAAGAAAATTAACACACTGAGGGAGCTTGGGCTCCCAAAATAATTCTCATTTATAAGTGTATCATTTATTAATCAGCACCAATGGTAAACAACACGTGTTTGAAGCAGTATACAAAAGGAGATTAGAACAAATGCATACCCAAAAAAAAATCTAAAGAAAAGGAAATAAATATTTCATATATAACTCCAATGGTCTCATGAATCTGTTTGTAAACTAATTTTTACAAATAGATTCACAAGTCCCCCTCCTCTATTTAGACAAACACAAAGATACAAATAATTCAATGGTCTTGTTAGAAATAGTTAAATGATTCAAAACTTATACTATGATACTATCCACCTTTCTTTTCACATGCAAATTGTGCACAACATTTAAAGCCATTAATCATCATTAAGAACCTAATTTTAAATAAATGGGAGTAATGTCCAATAAGCAGCAACAAGAAATCAACAACCATCAGCAAGGTCAGAATTGTCTAAACCCAACAACAATGAAATGGGTGTAAAAAATTACCTCTCCAAATCAAATCCTCCAATACCAAGAACATAATCCAGGTTAACTTTTCCAAACTCTGTCCGCTTCAGTTGAGCCATGCCATTGATGTTCTATTTTCAATATAACATATTCTGTTTAATACAATAATCATTAACAAGAATGACGAAAACCAAAAAGCAGCAAGGTACAAACCCTTATTCGTTGCACCAAAGAAGCAATTTCTGGCTCGCCAACAAGATCGGTCTAGGATAAGAAAGGACAAGTACACTAGTCAGCCAATACAGCAAAAACTGTAACTATTTTGAACATATTCTTCATCCAATATTCTATAAT